ATTAACTAGTTGCTTATTAGCATGCCTATTATTAACATATTGGCTGTTTATTAGTACTTATAAAGCACATATTCTGCATGACCATATTCTACATCCCTTATCCTACCCAACATCTAAACTTAAATGTGCAATAGGTGATTGTCTTCAGAAACATTTTTTGTTATGCTGGTTGAAAGTCTCTTCACATCCCGATAGCAATCATTAAGTTAAGTGGTCTAAATGTATTTATCTGTATTTATATATTCTGTGGAAGGCGTAGGACCAAGAAATGTTCGTCCAATCAAAACGCTCGGTCCGAGCGTTTTAATTGGCTTTCCTGCCTGCCTGTCAACGTATCTATTAGCATACCTCTGCGCACCCTGTTCGCGCAGACAGGATACGTCATCGGCGCGTTCACGCACGCTGTGCAGACAGAGCGAGAATGGCAGACAAACATCAACAACCTGATCTTCCTTCCTGGTATTGTAGTACTTCGCAGTCTTCGCACCGGTGGCGGTGAATGACACATAATGTAGCCCAGCGGTTCCCAATTCCAGTCCTCACGCCCCCCAGCTCTGCATATTTTGCATGTCTCGCTTAGTTAACACACCCGATTCAGATAACCAGCTCGTTAGAAGTGAGCTACGTGCATGAACTGTGTTCCGATCGATATGATCCCTACACAGTGTTCATTGCTCCCTACTCTCTGAGCAGGGGAAATCCGTTGAAGTTTACTTCACTTCAGAACATTCATTCACGGATTTGCGCTGCGCAGCGTCTTCACACCCATCACACCCACACACACATGTCTTCACACCCAGTGTGAGGACTGGAATTGGGAACCGCTGATGTAGCCTATTGTAGTAATGTTGTCTCTGGTATTCTGGTCTGTGAGCTTATATGCGTTCAGGGGGCGTGGCTTTGGAGGGCGATTGCAGGGACGGTGGGATGTTCGCTTTCAGTGCTATCAGGCTAAAGTTAGCATTTTCCAAGATCTCCTACTGCACCTTTAACAACTACCTAACTATTAATAAGCAGCATATTAGTAGTTTATTGAGGCAAAAGTCATAGTTAATGGTTTGTAAATACAGAGAATTTGACCTTAAAATAAAGTGTGACCAATATTTCTATTTAAAATAAACACTTTTTTTCAAACTTTCTGTTCATTAAAGAACACGATTTCACACTTTGCACACTTCGTTAAGCAACTTTTTCAACTAATAATATGAACTGTTTCTTAAGCGCCAGAGCAGCATGATGAAATGTTTTCTGAAGGATTATGTGACACTATAGCAGTAACTAAATCAGCATACTATCATCTCAAAAACATTGCAAGAATTAGATGTTTTGTTTCCAGTCAAGACTTGGAGAAACTTGTTCATGCCTTTATCACTAGCAGGGTGGACTATTGTAATGGTCTCCTCACCGGCCTTCCCAAGAAGACCATTAGACAGCTGCAGCTCATCCAGAACGCTGCTGCCAGAATTCTGACTAGAACCAGAAAATCTGAGCATATCACACCAGTCCTCAGGTCCTTACACTGGCTTCCAGTTATATTTAGGATTGATTTTAAAGTACTTTTACTAGTTTATAAATCACTCAATGGCCTATGACCTATATACATTGCGGACATGCTCGCTGAATATAAACCTAACAGAGCACTCCGATCATTAGGATCGAGTCAGTTAGAAATACCAAGGGTTCACACAAAACAAGGGGAGTCTGCTTTTAGTTATTATGCCGCCCGCAGTTGGAATCAGCTTCCAGAAGAGATCAGATGTGCTAAAACATTAGCCACATTTAAATGCAGACTCAAAACTCATCTGTTTAGCTGGGCATTCATTGAATGAGCACTGTGCGATGTCCGAACTGATTGCACTATATTCTATGTATAATCGTTTTCTTAAATTCATAAATTCTTAAATCAATTGTTTTAATCATTTTCAATGTTTTTAAATTCCTTGTTTTATTGTTGTGATTATTTTTTTTTCTTTTCTTTTATGTAAAGCACTTTGAATTACCATTGTGTATGAAATGTGCTATACAAATAAACTTGCCTTGCCTTGCCTTGCCTATAGACTAAAGTAATGGCTTTACAAAGAAATTAAAAGATATTAAAACAGAAATCGGATAGTATAAATTGTATTAAAATTTACAATATTATTTTATGTCAAATAAATAAATAATAATATATCAGCCTGGAGAGCATAAAATACTTTTAAAATGCTTCAAAAACATAAAAAATCCCACAGACCCCTTACTTTTGAACGGTAGTTTTCATACTTGTGTTAGTATGTATAGGTGTGTATTTCTGAGAAATGCAGGGGTGTCGTGTGATACGATGTGTGTGTGAAACATGGGTCATTACAGAGCATTTATGCTGGGACACTCTGTAATCACCTGTAACATGATTAATAACACACACACACACACACACACAGTGCCTGAAGAGGTTTCATCCTAAAACATGAGCTCACTGTTAGAGTTTATTCACAGCCGTTCATCCTGAGACGAATATAGAGATCATTCGACTGGCACAGCACATTCATTCAGATCACACCTGAATCAGAGCGCTGGATGAGTTGAATTGTATGAGTGATTGCAGATCTGAATGTGAATCAGCACTGATGTTTGTGTGTTACGATAGAGCAGTAACTGTATCTGTGCCTGCTAGTGAGTGTGTGTGTGTGTGTGTGACTCATAGTGTCTCCTCTTCATTGTTCATCAGGGAGTTTGACAGACATATTGAATTTAGCTCAAACTTCTTAGCAAGGATCCTTTTCATGTGTGTGCACGTGTGTGTGTGTGCACACACATCCCCGTCTGCAGTTCCTGAAGTCAGACTTCGCTCTCTGGTGCATGGTACATTTGACCTCTTAAAGGAGCAATCAGATGTACCCTCTAAGAGTTTGTGTGTGTGTGTGTGTGTGTGGGATGTTTTGAGAGCAAGTAGAGGTTATAGGATGTGCTTGGTGTTCAGTAAATGTACTTCTGTTCATTTGCTGAAGGTAAAAAGGTGATAAACGTCTTTCCAGTCCGAGTGTAAAAAGACATTGACATTTATTTATCAACTGCCTCTCAAAATGTATAGAAAAGGCACTGTTTTTCACTGGGTTCCTGTCTTGAAGAAAGAAAAAATATTGTTCAGGTTGTTGGTAGGTAGAAACAGGAAAAACAACCACTTGAGTGTGTATTTTAGATCTGTTGAGTCATCAAGAGGAACTGATTTGTCTGATTCTACGAATCAGTAAATTGTCGGAAGTTGTTGAGGAGTGTTTGTATCATTTATAATAAAAGTAAAACTGATTCAAGGTTGATTTTAAACTCTATATAGTCTGATCTAAATGGATAAAAAAGTATCCCAAATGCCTTATAAAGGTATAAATGAGAATGGTTTTGCAGAGAAAAGACATATTTTATTCTGCAGGAATGAATTGAAGAATGAAATTAAGGTTTAAATGCATTTAAACTCAAGGTAGCTCCAATAGAGATCGTTTAGACAGTTTGAATAATGGTTAAATCACAAAGTAAAGCTGTCTGGTAAAGAAAAACTTTCCCTGTGTTTGGGTGTGTACCTACTTAACATTATTTTGGGGACATATTTGTAACCATAAGTGAGCCAAATCTGACGAAACCTCCTATTGGAGATGTCTTCATTTGTAAAAGTGGTATAAAATGAATAAAGTTGTTTTGTTTTTTTTAATGTAAAAATGCAGAAAGTTTCCTCTTTGGTTGTAAGTTAGGGTTAGGTTATAATATTTAACTAGAAGTCTATAAAATGTCCCGATTTACATAGCCAAGTAAATGTGTGTGTGTGTGTCTGTGTGTGTGTGTGTGAGAGAGAGAAGGGCCTCTGTGTGTGAAACTGAGTGTTAAGAGGATCAGTTGTTGAGGAACCACTGTGAGCCGTTACCCTATCCGACATTTACCAGCCTGAGCCTAACCTGACCCTGCCTGACCCCACTTCACCCGTCCTCACCCTCAATGACTGGACACCCTCCATCCTCTCTGCAGCCCTTTCAAATCATTTCTTGATTCTAGAATATGCCAATCGCATCAGATTGTGTGTTAGATTGAGAGTGAGGTTGCTGGTGACTCTCAAATCAGACCTCAGGGTGATTGATGATAAGAGATGTGACGATATAGAGCTTTTTGAAGATCTACATTTATACATTCGGTAGAAGCTTTTTTTCTAAAGTGACTTGCATTGCATGAAAGATATGCATTTTATGCAGTTAATTCTCTGTTACCTGCTTGTAAAATAATTTTAATGTTAAGTAAAAAAGATGGTTAACTAGTGCTATTGGAACCTGACACAGATAAATGTATAGACTGAATTGACCTAATAATAAATGCCAATTTCCAGTAACCGCCAACCTTGTAATTTAAAAAAGTAATAATTCATCATTATAATTAATGTATGAATACAAATAGGGATATATATTGGTCAACACTGGAAACTTTATGGTTTTGCCAATTTCCACTATTTTTAAGTACATTTTTTAAAAAGCCAATGGTAATAGCACTGTTAATTGTAATCTTTAGGAAATCTATATACCGTATATATATCTATATATATAAATCTGTATATTAGGAAAGTAAATATATCCATTTTTCATGCTCATATTATAATGTTGTGATGATGCTATAATTCACAGTAATTGTAATTTGTGCGGTTTTATTTTCAATTTATTTAGATAAAGTTGTAAAGAATTTTAATATTGGCCATTTATTGGTATTGGCCAGAGTTGTAATTTTATTTTAGAGGATTTGGGCTTTATTTTATATGTAAACTGAAAAGTAGGGGAATAGGATCTGTCCACGGCCAAGGTCAGATATACATGCAATATAGAGTATGATGCAGCATACATGCCTACTGAATATGATGATGACAGCAGTGAAAGGGAGGATCACTGGTCTTGTTAGTCAGTGAATAACATTACCCAGCAGTCATCTTTCTTTGCATCTGTACATATCAACCATAGTCTGATCTCTCCTTTCTGCTCTCTTCATCTCTGCAGGGCTTACGTTCCCAGACTGGGCCTATAAGCCCGAGTCCAGTCCTGGCTCCAGACAGATCCAGCTGTGGCACTTTATCCTAGAGCTGCTGAGGAAGGAGGAGTATCATGATGTGATTGCCTGGCAAGGAGATTACGGGGAGTTTGTGATCAAAGACCCTGATGAGGTGGCCAGGCTGTGGGGCGCCCGCAAGTGCAAACCTCAGATGAACTACGACAAACTCAGCAGAGCTCTCAGGTAAGTCTTTTGTCTTTGCCTTTATTCCTGTTTACAATAAAGTTTACAGTACACAATTTACAGTAGACTGATTTCAGACACAATCCCTCTTGTGGTTTAATGGTTAACTTTCGGTTACCAGGCCAGACAAGAGAGGATCTTTAATTCTCTTTTAACTGAGTTAATTTCTGCAACAACTATTTTGAGGGTTACAATTTGTCCCTTTTATTATTTACGACTGGTCTGTCTTTTCCTCCTTATACCATCTTTGGACCAACCAAAATATGCTGATCATTACAAAACATGGTCCATCTTCAAACACATCCAACCTTTTAAGCATTTACTATTTTAAAAGTAAAATCCTTGACTGTTTTAGTTTGACCAATGCAGACTGAGGCCTATTTCTGCTCAGTCTAATTGTAGAGGAGGCAGCTAAAGCGTCCGACTCTTGTGTTGCGTTATGGGATTGACCCTTCCACTGGAGAGTTATAACTGTACGGAGTCTGATCTCTCAGTAATCCCGGTCTGTTTACCTGTGCAGGAGCTGATCTCATTACAGTACAGACAGGTCAATGTATTCTGAGCAGCCGACAGTTTTAGCCTTCACTCCATTTTCTGACCTGATCTGCATTTGCTCATTTGTACCTTTATTTTCGTTCATGACTCACCTGCTTTAGCAGATCAGTGCTGATCCTCAAAGTGGATGGAGAGTGATCCACTTTCTGCCTTTATTTTGAAGGCTTCTCAGGACAGACCTCATACGCTAGGGCTAAGTTAAGCCACATGAGGGTTCAGTGCTGGACGTAATCAGTCAAACACTCTATTGATTGCCATCAGTGTATGATCCAGCGCAGTTAAACCACTACTGGGGATGTGGGATTTGTTAAAGGGATAGTAAATCTGCCATTTCACCAATAGTGTAGAAACAATTTCCTCTCAGAAATTGCTAGTACATTTAACAAACAAAGAACAAAAGAAACGGCAAGTATACACATTGAATTAAATGTGATATTTTAAAGTTTTTTTTTTTTTACTGAAATGGCATTTAAAAAAAATAAACTTGAGTAATCTTTTATTTACAACTTTTAAATGATTTTTATTTGTTCCTAACCTGGATGCATTATTGATACAGAACCCTATTGACTTTCATTGAACAGAGACATTGTAGTTGAACTCAAATCTTAAAGGGGTCATATGATGCTGCTAAAAAGAACATTATTTTGAGACTTTAGTCTTTGCAACTTTACAGATCTTCTTTATGCACCAAGAGCTTGTAACACTCCAAAGAGAAAGGAAAAATTGAAATCGCATCATATGACCCCTTTAAAGATATCTATTAAATATAAATAAATATATATATATTAAACACCTGTACTTGCAGATTATATAATATTGATGAATAAAATACTATATAATAGTACTTAAAAAGAGCACACGTTCTTAACATACTTAGGTACACTTTATAATAATGTCAAATGAAACATTTGAAAGTTTTACTTAAAATTCTTAACCAAATATTTTAAAAAATTTTTGTCATGCTTTATAGTACCTTTTTTATGTGTTGAGTAACACACTAAGGGACTTGTTTAGTAAAATTTTACCAGAAGATTTTAGATTTTTTTTATCTTACGTTAATTTAAAAAATCTTGTAGAATTTTATCTGCTGTATTTTTGTGCTTATTTGGTTTTATTTTGTGTTTGTAGATTTATTCCAACTCTGTACTTGCCATGAAAAAAGCCTTAGATGCTGACATGGCAATAAAAATAAATTACTACTACTAACACTAAGGTACATGTAAAGTACTTACAATTAAACTTTTAAACTGTAGTTTGTTTTTGATATTACATTTAAAAACAATATATATTTTAAATGTACCAAATTGCAACTATCATTACAAATTTACTGAAATACATGACATAAAAGTTTCAATAGAAATGACATTAAAGTAGGGCTGCACGATTATGACAAAAATCATAATTGTTGATTATTCCCTTGAAATTGTAATTGCGATTATTAATTACGATTATCACAATTTACATTGAATGATGTTTATACCATTGTTTAATGCAACTGCATGCCACATTTTTATATGAAAATAAACCAGCTGAAAACACTCTAACTGAAAAACTTTGTCTATAGTATTAAGCCTCAGATGTCAAATATACATCGGATTGGTTTCTTCTTTAAATGATAAAAAAAGTAAAAATATGAATGGTATTATA